TGCACTGTAAACAGATGCAAAAATATCCATTGTGTGGCCTGTGGGATAATATTACTGATGTGCAATGTACATTTTCCTCAAGGTTTACAGCTAGTGGTTGATGCTCCTCAGAGCATCTAATGTAGTATTTGTCCAGGGTGAACAGCAATTGCCCAGGGTTATAAATCAACCCCCTAGTGTCAGATTAAAAGAAACCCCATTTTCTGTTAAAATAAACATGATATGCCTTGTATCATTTCTATACAAGCCAGTTTGTTATGTAAAGTGGATCTCTGGCCAAAATCTTTTTTTTCCTCTCATTTTGGACAGAGTTGGAAAAGGTTAAAACCTCTGTTAAGTTTTTATTGCTGAAAACGTCACACAGATGTCACATTGAGAAAGGAGAGCATTACTTCTCCAGGATGTCCATGTGATCATGTATTCCTCTGCATGCTGAAGTTCTGTCTATTTACATCCATGACCTTAGTGACTTTTGTGAGCCTGCATTGGAGTGCTGGCTTTGTGTTGCAATGTTTCTATTTGTTGCCTTAGTTCCTACTGGGCTATTAAGGATGTTCGAGGGCTTAGGTGACCCCAGTTCACCTGAATACACCCAAGCACACACAAAACTGGGACTGTCACGCCCTTCCCAACCCTGTCAGTTGCCCATTTGTGATGTGCAGCTGCAGGGCAGAGAACGGGGGGTGTCAATGACAGTTTTGCATGGGTTTGGGTGAACTCCGGTGAACTGGGTCTCACTAGTAATGAGTCTGGGCTTGGTGCAAATCCAGTTCACCTCAGTTTGCCCACGCCCACTTGAAACTCTGACCACCATCCCCATCTTCCAATGCAATCAGTGTTGGCAGTTGCAGTGGGGGCATTCCTTACCCCTTTGTGACATATATCTGCAAGGTGGGAAATGTGCCTCCCAGCAACTGATGCTTATTTCATAATTGATTAGTTGGCAGATTATTTTTTGGATTAATTGGATAAAAAATACATTAAATACCATCCTTAATTTAAAATAAAATTACACAAATGCAGTGTTACAAACATAAAGTTTACTTCAGAATAAAACTGGAGGCACGATTTAGTGCAATCGCACTGCACTGGAACGCAAAGCATTGTGTTACCATGGGTTCCAGGGTGGACGATAACACTGTGGGTGGGAGGCGCGTTTGGGGTGCCATTGGCTCTGCAACACACCTCCTGCAGCAGAATTTGTCAGGCCGAAACCGAAAATTAATTTTTTTCTACCTTTTATACATTTTTTTGAAATAATTGTACTGTAAGCACGATATTTGAATGGCTTCAGCCAGGGAATGACAGCTGCCAGTGGCAAGATTGTGCAGAGGGCAGCTGAATGTACATACAGCAGGTAGTGGGCTGGTGCAATAGCCAGCCTGCTATTGGCCATTCCAAATTGCAATAGCCAATAGCAGGCTAGCTATTGCACCCACCCACTGCTTGCTGTGCCCTCCTGCCAGCGTGGAGGAGAGAGCTAAAGGATCCAACCAACGAATCGATAATGAGAATAGTCGACAACTATTCTTATTATCGATTAGTTGCTTGCAGCCCTAGATTTCCCCTCACTTTAGGGTGACAGTCTCTCACTTCCTGTTGTCTGCAGAGCAGGAAGCAAGGGGAGATCTCCCCCCATGGGACAGCAAAAAAAAAAAAACTTGCCAGGAGTTTCCATTCTTTCCTAAACTTTTTTAAAAAGGGTAATAGATATGCTAGAAAAATGAAGTCACATAAAAAGATGTGGGTGTGATCCGTTATTTCCAGTGATTCCACACATTGTATTAGCATGGCATGTGGAAATGTGTGGAGCACATGTTCATTGACCAGCACAGAATGGAGTATTAGCTCAGTACTGATTTATTGGCCTCCTGGGTGCGGTTATTAGCACACTGGAATAAAGGCCAATTGGTTAGAGATCACTGCATTCTCCAACATGAAAAGTCATTCATGTATACCAGCCTTGGCAACCTGCAGATATACAACTCCCAATATATACTGACAGCTATGAGACAGGATGAGATGCATGCATAGGGTTCCAATGGCAAATACATCCTTTTCATAGTTTAACTATTGGCCCATTTCCCGTGCCCCAGACCAACAATGCCTTTGCACAGGTTCCAGATGTTGTGCCATTTGCCCCAAATCATGTTAAAAGTACAATGCAGCAGTTTCTATTCATACCCATTAGCATGTGCCAAAATGATCCAGTCCTTGTGATGATGGTGTGACATATTCACCATTCTTCAAGTGGGGTAAATACCATAGTGATTACTATGAGATACTGAAGAAGGGAGAGGGGGATGTGCATGGACGCACAGTGCACCGCTAACGTACAACAAAGTGTCATGCTTAGGTAAAGAACTTAAAAAAAGAGAACTATGAGGTGAGTGCTTTACACTCATCCTCATAGTTCTAGCCGACCTGTGACAATGAGACTGTCACAGGTCGGCTCAGTAGATCGGGAGGTGAGCGAACACATACCGGCGTTTGCTCACTTCTCGATCCTGTCACGGCCCTCTGCCGTGACAGGGGAGGGGCTGGATTCCCACCTCCCAGCTCCGATCCTCCAGCGCTGACTGGCGGATCGGACGGGTACAGCTGGCTCTTCCTCTAGATAGGCAGAGCCAGCTGTCACTCACGCAGCTGGGCGGATCCAGACATAATTTGTCGGGACCCGCTGCAGCGTCTCAGTATATAGCGAGCTGTAGCTCGCGGTATACTGAGCTTAGGGTAACGGGAGGACGCTAGTTTGTTTCCTCCCGTTACCCTAAGGAGAACTATGGGGAAAATTCTCCACCTCTCTCGGGAAACATCGGGGAGTGGATATTGACATTCGAGTGGTGCGGAGAGAACCGATTTGAAGGTTAGGAGAAAGCCGCGGCCAGCTGATTCATTCAAACTAGAGCTGCAGCTAACGATTATTTTCAAAATCGATTAGTTACCCGATTATTAAGTTCGGTTAATCGGATAAACAATAAAATACATTTTAAAAAATGGCTCCAGTGATGGACTACTAGTTTGTATTGAGATTGCACTCCATCACAGGAGCAAGCTTGGAGCGGTGGAAAAAAAAGTAAAAAAGAAAAAAAATAGCGTGGTGTGCAATATAGTGAAATGGAAAGTGTAAATGTATACAGCAATGAATGCAGAATGGCACCGACTATAGAGGACTACAAATCCCAGCAATAGTACATTATACAGCGCAATGCAGAATATCACCAGCTATAGAGGACTACAACAAATCCCAGCAATAGTACATTATAGCTGGTGGTATTCTGCATTGCGCTGTATAATGTGCTATTGCTGGGTTTTGTAGTCCTCTATAGCTGGTGGTATTTGGCATTGCACCACTGTATAATGTACTATTGCTGATGGTGCATTGCTCTGTATAATATACAGCACAATGTACCATCAGCTATAGAGGAATACAAATCCCAGCAATACATTATAGAGCACCATGTGTGGGAAAGTGCAGGCTTACCTGAGCAGTCTTCCAGCAACTTGCTTCTGAGATCGGACCTGTCTATCGGCGGCTGTCATCCCCCCACACCTGCTCCTCCTTACTACATCTCCCCGCGTTCCTGTGCCGATCGTGGATGCGGGTGGGCGGTGAGTGTGAGGAGGTGCGGCGTGAAGAGCGTGTGTGGAGCCGTGAACAGGGCTAACTGAGCAGAAGCCGATTAATCGATTATTGAAAAAGTTGACAACTTTTTCAATAATCGATTATAATCGATTATGCCGATTAGTTGTTGCAGCCCTAATTCAAACCGAAGAAAGCGGCCGATTACTATCACAGGAGAGATTGTTTTAGAAAAAGACTGGTGGACATTGAGAAACTAACCGAATAAGAACCTATGTTTATGGAACATACCAACTGAGGGAAGTGAAATAATTCGCCACCGCACCGTTTTTTCAGTATAAGCAATTGCCGGGTGGAAGGATTTGCTGACTGGTTAGCAGAATCAGAGGTGTTGCTATTCTGATTGTGTCACAAAAGTCTGTTCGTCAGATTAACACTTGAAATTGATGTCACTTGTTTATGTATATTCACTAAATAATTAATATGTTCACCAAATAACGAAATGACACGGATATTATGGGAGAAAATAACATATTGATTTAATATTTCTTTTTCACAATTATTAGAGGAAGTGAAGTGGTTACACTATATAGTCTAAAAGGAAGCAGTGCATTTTATTAGTTTCACTTGAACAGAACACAATGTATTTTTGTACAACACGAGGTATATACTCACTTTTCAACAGATAGTTTATTTAATTACACTCACATACCGAGCGCAACATAATAGCATCATCATACACAGGTTTATCACCAGACATTGTTGCAGCTGGTTAAACTTTTGAAACACTCCTAGCGCGGCTGTTGCTGTTCATATGGGGAAAAGCCCTAACCCGATAGTTCTCCTTTAATAAGTATCTAGAAATAGGTGTACAGTGCTTACTTGGCTCTCACATATAGGCAGAGCCCTATCAGCTATCCTTCACCCCTCATAAGGAAAGTTTACTGACCCCTCCACACACATGTTCTCCCTGCAGCACTGTGCTATCATTGCCTCACTCCTCCCACACAAGACTGTCCCACCCCCCTCACCTTCATTCCCAGGACATCTCTGAAGAAGCGAGCCGTCTGGCCCCTGTCACCAATCTTCAGGACATAGTGCAGAGCTCTCTTGCCTCCCATCCTTCCTGTCACAAACACCGTCTGGCACACAGAGCCTGCGCCTTCTGATGACGACATGACTTGTCACCATGGAGATCAATCAGCGGACGCCAGTCAATGCGGCTATAATGTTCTGAGTGCTGGCTCGGGACCGGTAAAGTTTAGCTGATAGACAAACAATACATGAGGGAGCAGTGTTAATCAGTTCAAAATAAAAATATGCTAACATCTAACCTATACGTGAAGTACGATCCGCCAATCCCAATGTGGCTGCCGCCTTAGCCTCGTTTGACGTCACTGAATGCGACAGGTCAGTGATGGCGGCGCTCATGAGAAGCGTGCTGCGCTGTAGCCGACTGATCGCGGTTCAGTTGCCCGGGAATATACAAGTGAGGCGTGATGTGAGGGCCCTGAGGAGGACTCCGGTGCGGGTCATTCCCCCGGAGAGAGAACGGAGGAGCCAGACGCAGGAGAGGGGGCCCCTAACACAGCAGAAGGACAAGAGGCAGGAGAGTGGGCCCCTGACACAGGAGACAGACAAGAGGCAGAAGACGGGGCCCCTGATGCAGAAGGACAAAAGGCAGGAGAGGGGGCCCCTGACACAGCAGAAGGGCCAGCCGCAGGAGCAGCAGCGCTATCAGCCTGTCTCTGAGGACAGAAGCCAGAAGAAAGACAGAGCAGATGAGACAGATGTTCCTCAGAAGGTCCAGCCACAGGAGCTGAAGTATGAGAGAGCCCGCCCTGGAGAAAACAGGCTCAGGTACTTCTCTCCTCTGTGGAGTAGTTAAAGGGGTTCTAAACCCTCCCATTTTTTTGCCTATATCTACTGCTATAAAGCAGTAGATATAGGCAAACAGTTTAAAAAAAAAACAAGCTAAAACAGCGGTTTAAACTTACCTTTTTTTCTTTGCGCGCTCCCGCGTCGAGAATCAGGAACTGCTCGTGCGGCCGGAAAGGATCTAGGGGAGGGCGCATGCGCAGTTCCGTTTTTCAGCCGGGAGACGAGCAGAGACGCAAGGTAAGTCTATGGACGCGTGCACCCGCATGCAGACACCGCTGGATCGGAACTGCCTGCAAGCAGAGAGGTGTCAGCGCTGGATCGGAGAGCCGCCGCACCGCTGGAGGGACAGATGAAAGCATCAGGAAAGAAGAGGAAGATCGGAATAAGATCTGGAGAATTTGGAGGCCAAGTCAACACCTCAAACTTGTTGTTGTGTTCTTCAAACCATTCTGAACACATTTTAGCAGTGTGGCAGGGTTCGTTATCCAGCTGAAAGAGGCCACTGCCATCAGGGAATCCCATTTCCATGAAGGGTGTAATTTTTGACGAGAGGATGGTGGAGCCCGACGAGCAGCTTCCCGGCCGGCCATTGTAATTACATGGCCGGCCGGGAGCTTTACATTCATGCGATCGAGCGCCTCTAGACGCCCGTTCGCTTGTATTACCAGCAGCTGTCACTGCCGTTGCCGGTCCCGAGATCCGCTGTGCCCGATGCGGCCGGGACCGGTACGGCTCTGTGACAGGAGATCAAAGGGAGATCGGTACACGGTACATCTACTCTCCAGTCCCGGAAGGCAGGAAGTGATGTATAATACATCACTTCCTGCATTCAGTGTCACTTTTCAGCTACAGAAGCTGATGAAACAGATATCTTGGAGACACCTGATGTCTTCATAAAGAGGCCCTGTCATGTAAATTTGCTATCACACAGGGGGCTTCTTAGCCCCTCCCCCATGTGATAGCAATAAAGTTGTGTAAAAAAAAGTAATACAAAATTGTTTTTAAAAAAAGCTTAAAAAAGAAAAAAAAATTGTTTAAGTCCCCCGCACATACACATGCAGATATGCGTCGATTGCACCTATTGTGCCGAACATGTTACATATAACCGTGAACGTTGGAGTGTGAGCAATAATTTTAGGGCCATTAATCACTGATAACACTAAACTGATGAGCGGTAAAAGCGTTTTAAGCGTCGCCTATGGCCAATTTTCAGTGTGGTTGTTTTTTTTGCGATTTTGAGGGCGCATGCAATTTTAAGGTTTGACATGTTTGTTGTCTATTTACCCGACCTGACCCCGACTTTTATGTTTTACCAAAAATATGGGTAACAATAGATGTTTTATAACATAGGGGGAAAAAAATGTTTATTCTACAATTTACGGTAGTTTTTCATTATATAGTAAAAAAATAACCCCCCTGTGGTGATTATATACCTCCCAAAAGAAAGCTCTATCTGTCCCCCAAAAAAATGTTAACATAAATTGCAAGGCTATAGTCCGGTCATTTTTGACTGACTGGTGAGACACCCTAAAATTTTTCGTGTGTGTGTGCGCGTGCCCACACACACTTTTGTTTCAAATTCATCTGAGGTGCAAAGGGACAAGATTCTAAGTGCATATTATGTCAGTTAATATGCACCTAAATACTCCTTACTCATGTGTAAGTGTTATTTAGCATAAAACACACCTGAGATGGTTCCTGCCTGAACATACGCCCATTTTATTACATCAATGGTGTTTGCATCAAAAGCTGGATTGTGTCATTGTCTGTTGTTTTGATTGAAGTGAAACTCGACTTTAGAGTCTTTGTTCTAATCTTTGAGAATGAGTAACTTTACATTAAAAGCAGTTGGAGAGATGTCAGGGACGGCTTATTTTAAAGCTTTGTTTATTGCGTGTTATGAATATGTAAATTGATGTCCTTAGTCTGGACGTAGGTACATGTTAATGGGCATATAGTGCCAATATTCCCAAGACATGCTGGGAGGTTAATTGGCTCCTCTCTAAGGCTGGGCACACACCTTACAACCATTGCAAGACTTTTGTCTTGCGATGGTTGTAAGGTACTTAAAAAAACGTACGATCTGCCTATCTTGCATAGGTAGATCGTACTTGCGATGATCGCAAGCCACGCCCCCTGAGGGGCGGGCTTCCGATGACCGTAATGCCGAACGGGCAGTGTGCGCTTGCGCACACCGGCCCGTACGGCTGTTATCGTACGGACATGCCACAAACCCGCCGAACATCGTACGATGCTCGGCGGGTTTTCGAACATGTCCGTAAGTTTAAAGTCGTGCGACCTTACAGTAGTAGAGGTCGCACGGCTTCCACACACCTTACGATAATCGTACGATCGCGGGATTTCCCGCGATTATCGTACGATTATCGTAAGATGTGTGGGGACCTTAAGTTGGCCCTCTATGTATACATGTGAGATAGGGATCTTAGATTGTAAGCTCCTTGAGGGTAGGGACTGAAGTGAATGTGCAACTATGTAAAGTACTGAGTAAATTGTCGGCGCTATATAGATACCTGTAATAAATAAATTAATAATATGAGACACAGAGACAGTTGGGGAAGAGCTACAGACCCGGATTTGGTTATTGACCTGCTCTGTGCAATAAAAAGGTTTCTGTGCTCAAATTCAAATAACTTCCATTTATATATGTTATGTATTATGTAAGTTGTTGGGATTGGAGCACAGACATCTCTACATTTTTATTGGGACGCAGCTCAGACTTATCCTCGCGCCACTTAGGCCCGGTTCACACCTGGACGTTTTGTAGCGCGTTCCTGCGCTCTGCAAAACGCTCAAACACCGAAATCCCATTATTTCCTATGGGCATGGTTCACACCTGGGCGTATTACAGGCTGTATGAACGCGCTACAAAACGCCCTACCCCCAAAGAAGTACAGGAGCTTCTTTGGGGCGTATTTGTCGCGTGTTTCCATTGGGATACAGCCAAGTAGCCCTCGGAAGCGCGCGTTTGTTGCGCATTTTTTTACCACGAAGCGCGCATATTTGATACGCCTAGGTGTGAACCCAGCCTTATACCTTCCCAGGTTTCAATTAGAAACTGTGTCTGAAAACAGACAACTTCTGCTGTGCTAGTTTGCTAAAAAAACATAGTGCTCTGGAGATGCTTTGTCACAGGTGCACCCTGCATTAAATGTCATTTTATAAAACAACAATTTATTATAAGTAGTAAAAAAAAGAAGAGATTGGAAAAATAAATATAAAATGTCCAAAACCATTATAGTTTCCCCTTGAGATAATTGGCAGTGAATGGGAGTTCTGCAGTCTAGTAAGTACAGCAGTGAATCTGGGACTCGCGTAACTACCCAATCTTTTAAGTCAGAGGAGGGCAACTTTGGCACTCCAGCTATGGTGAAACTACAAATCCCATCAAGCTTTTGTCTTGACTGTGGCCAAGGTTTGCTTCCCCTGTTCTAAATGTTCACATTATCTGTGATATGTAAATATATATTAAAGTGACCTATATAACTAATTTTCCTTCTGGATTCCAATGTTTTTTTTTTTTTATATCTTGTTGATGTCTTCATTCTGTAGTGCCCCCTTTGAATGTGTTCTGTTTATCTAATTTGGACTTTTTTTATGCTTTAATATATAGCAAAGTCGTTTCAATAGCAAAATCCAAATCGTTTCGGGATCGCCATGGACAGGTGTTACTGGAAGGCCAGAGGCTGCTGCTGGATGCTTTGGAGACTGGAGCTATTCTACAGACATTGTTCTTTAGTAGAGTTGATCAGTTGAAGGCCTTGCCTACCGATAAACTTCAGAAAGCAAACCTCATCAAAGTGAAATTTGAAGATATTAAATTGTGGTCTGATGTTGTTACACCCCAAGGAGTCATGGGTAAGTGAAGATTGAAGACCGCTAAACTATTATTAGACCCATTACACAAATTTTAATCTGTGAGTCATATTTACATTCTGTAAGAAAGATTTGCAGCATTTCTTATCTGGGCAATATATCCTTCAGAATAACACATTCACAATGTGATGAGGGACTCTCTCTTTTACTGGGTGGCTACATTGCCTCGTGGGGTCTCCTCGGGGGCCCAGCATAGCTACCCATATGTGAATGCTCAAACAGGCATCTCCTTCATAAGATTACTGTTCAGCCCACTAGCTCATTTTTGACTGCTGGTTGCCTGATCTCCACCCAAAGGAACATGGTTGTGAGTATTTCTTGTATGGCAGGGGTAGCCAAACCTTCGGCCCTCCAGCTCTTGTGTAACTACAAGTCCCATGAGGCATTACAAGACTCTGACAGCCACAGGCATGACTTGCAGAGGTATGATGGGATTTGCAGTTTCATCACAACTGGAGGGCCGGAGTTTGGCTACCCCTGTTGTATAGGCAAGAAGTGGGGGAAAATCTCCCAAAGCAAACAGACAGAAATAATAACTAAAGCTTTTAGGTTTTGATTTCAATGATGTCTTTACACCCCTTTAACATTACAGAAAACTGTTGAAACTACTAATGTTTACAAGAGTTCTGTAGCATTTAATTGATCATGTGAAATTCTATTATCCTTAGGAATCTTTAGAAAACCTGACCATGTAAAGATGAAATATCCAGAAGATCAGCTGAAGAACACGTTACCAATGTCTCTCATATGTGACAATATCCGTGATCCTGGAAACCTGGGTACCATCCTGAGATGTGCAGCAGGGGCTGGCTGTAACAAAGTTTTGCTTACAAAGGGTAATGCAGAAGACATGGCCCTGAGCTAATGAATCCATATGAATTTCTGTGTAGTACAGGGATTCTGCTAGCTGATTTGTTCTTTATGCTTATATTTCAAAGTGCTAAGAGTGGGGAACAAACTGACATCCTCTAAAGGTGCCCATACACTGCACGATTCTCGGACGAGAATCGCGGGAAATCCTGCGATCGTACGAGAATCGTGCAGTGTAAATGAAGGCGTGCGACCGTTTCTACTGTACGGTCACACGTCTTTTGTCTAAGGAGCATGCTAGAAAAGCAGCCGAAAATCTTATGATTTTCGGCTGGTTTGAATAATGCTCGGGAGACAAATGCCGAACGGGCCGGTGTGCGCACGCGCACACTGCCCTTCAGCATTGCTGTCATCGGAAGCCCGCCCCTTAGGGGGGTGGGTTTGCAATGATCTCAAGTACGATCTGCCTGTCCAAGATGGACAGATGGTACGTTTTTTTAATTACTTTACAACCATCGCAAGACTAAGGTCTTGCGATGGTTGTAAAGTGTATGGCCACCTTTAGGCAGGGATTTCACGTTTCTTTTTCTACGGGGAAAGGTTCACTTTAAAACTCATTGGTTTTGTATTATATTAGATGTATTTTGTAATTGCCAAGGTCAGTGATCACAGCATGCAGTAACATTTTGACTTTATCGTGGTCATAATATAATATGATTGCTGATTAATAAGTGATACTAATATTCACACATAGCTATTTGGCCTGTTATAGAATCCCCCAGATACATTATATTGCCAAAAGTATTGGGACACCCCTCCAAATCATTGGATTTAGGTGTTCTGTGAAATTTCCTTGCTACTAAACATTCCACGGCCAACTGTTAGTGGTATTATAACAAAGCGGAAGCAACTGGGAACAACAGCAACTCTGCCATGAAGTGGTAGGCCACGTAAAATGACAGAGCAGGGTCAGCGCATGCTGAAGCGCACAGTGCGCAGAAGTCGCCAACTGTCTGCAGAGTCAATAGCTACAGACCTCCAAACTTCATGTGGCCTTCAGATTGGCACAACAACAGTGCGTAGAGAGCTTCATGGAATGGGTTTCCATTGCCGGCAGCTGCATCCAAGCCTTACATCACCAAGTGCAATGCAAAGCGTCGGGTGCCGTGGTGTAAAGCACGCCGCCACTGGACTCTAGAGAAGTTGAGACATGTTCTCTGGAGTGACGAATCACACTTCCCTGTCTGGCAATCCAATGGACATGTCTGGGTTTGGAGGTTGCCAGGAGAACGATACTTGCCTGACTGCAGTGTGCCAAGTGTAAAGTTTGGTGGAGGGGGGATTATGGTGTGGGGTTGTTTTTCAGGGGTTGGGCTTGGCCCCTTAGTTCCAGTGAAGGGAACTCTTAAGGCATCAGAATACCAAGACATTTTGGACAATTTCATGCTCCCAACATGACTGCGCACCAGTGCACAAAGCAAGGTCAATAAAGACATGGATGAGCAAGTTTGGGGTGGAGGAACTTGACTGGCCTGCACAGAGTCCTGACCTTAACCCGATAGAACACATTTGGGATGAATTAGAGCGGAGACTGGGAGCCAGGCCTTCTCGTCCAACATCAGTACCTGACCTCACAAATGTGCTTCTGGAAGAATGGTCAAACATTCCCATAGACACACTCCTAAACCTTGTGGATGCCTTCCCAGAAGAGTTGAAGCTTTTATAGCGGCAAAGGGTGGGCCAACTCAATATTGAACCCTACGGACTAAGACTGGGATGCCATTAAAGTTCATGTGCGTGTAAAGGCAGGCGTCCCAATACTTTTGGTAATGTAGTCTGTGTTATGCAACCGCAGCACATCCTTTAAAATGTCAGTCCAACCTGTGCTTGTGATGCTGCTGCCAGTTCAAAATTAGGTCTTTTACCATTCGTATACAGAATACACTGCTTGAATTTGGTCCCAGTCATTTGACCAGTTTTTTTCAATCGACTTATCAAAGTAGCCGAAAAGGAAGGAAGGAGTCTGGAAAAAAAGCTTCTGTTAAAATACAATAGTCCGATGTGTGTAGGGAAGGATTTCCCCATCCCTGCTAAATATTAAGTGTTTTTCATTTACTTACAAATAGATTTCATGTACCTCCTGGTCCAGTTCTGGCACAAATAATGTAATGTGCCAAAGTGTTGCATCCTGGGAAGGTTACATCAGCAGTGTATTTCTGGGAAATCTCACGAGATCTCAGGAAGTAAAGGGGAATCTAGTAATCTGCCCTTAGTAAAACATGGCCACTGTCGGAAGAAAAAAGAAACAAGGTATGTAAAGAATGCAAAGCCGGCAATTATCTAGAAGTATGTGTTTGTAGATTGTCATTACTAAACATTTCTGAAGGTGTGTTTGTTGTTATTGTAAACATATGGGCATGAAGTAAACTTTTCATAGGTGACTGACATTGTTAAACTCTCCTTTTGAAGATGACTGATTGCCCGGCTTTTACAACGATACAAAGACATCATTACCCAGTCACTAAGCTAGAAGTATGCAGTCAGGAGATGGAACGTTACTAGCTGCAGGCTTGTTCTGGATCGGTATTGAGGTCAGAAACAGCCAGGCATCTAGCAGTTTCCGGAAGTCGGCCTGTTTTCCCCTCAGTATAATTCCAGTTACACTTATTACAAATGTCTTGTTTTGAGTAAAGATTATGCTTATGTAAAGAAATAAATGTTTCTGAAATGATCCCATGATTTTGGTTGTGGAAAGTTACATATTCTGTTTTGCAGGTTGTGTTGATGCATGGGAACCTAAAGTGATCCGAGCAGGCATGGGAGCTCACTTTCGCTTGCCAATTATCACCAGCTTAGACTGGGACACCATTAGCAACTACCTCTCCGAGGATACCAAAGTGTTTCTTGCGGATAATTTTTGGAAGAATGTTTCTGATGAGGAGGAGTTTAAATCCGGGAAAGCCATTGACTACGGCTGGATCTCCAATGACCCTAGAAGCGTTGGTTACATTGAAGGAGAGGATTATTACTCTTCCGGTGATGAAGGGGATGAGGAACTGCAGGATATTCCTAAAATTCCCATACAACATTATCACCATCCATGGGCTAAGGGTCCAAGCGCAATTGTGATTGGAGGGGAGACTCGTGGGCTGAGTATAGAGTCACTTCTACTCGCTGAGAATTCAGGAGGAAGGAGGCTGTACATTTCAGTTGTACCTGGAATAGAAAGCCTAAACTCTGCTATGGCAGCTAGTATTCTTTTGTTTGAAGGAAGAAAACAAATGCAGGAGAAAAGTTTTCTTGCTACACATGGCAAACAATAATTCGGCTCTTGCTACATTGTAAAGCAGAGCATGGACATGAATTGTACACCCATTGCTTATTTTTTTTTCTATACAAAAAGGTGACTGTTCCGTTGTGCATTGCAGCACTGTCAAACACAGCCGACTTTGCTGACATGGATGCCAAAAATATGTGATTCAATGGGAAAACTGTTCTGTTTCCTCTGTGTAATATACATGAAGCTTAAACTATTGTACATTGATAAAGGGGCATTTTTTTATAGATTAAAAAAAATAAATTCCTCACTACCAGAGATCCAGGGGGAAAAGGTTTGGTGTTTTGGTGTGGTAAACTATAACCAGGTATCACTAAAGGGTGTTGTATTACACATTTTTGGAATGCATTTCAGTCCTTTATGCTGGTGCAAACTCATGGATCACATTAGATTAATGAAGAATACCAGTGAAACATTTCATTAACCCTTGCAGTAGGGCTACCCCCACACTGTAAGGCTTAACTGCTTGTCTAGGTGCTAAAAATAAATATATACAGTGTCCTCACATCTATAGGCTTGTATAGAACGTGATGACACAAGGATTCTTAGACCACTGCAGAGGAGGGGGAGAGAGGCTTTAGGGACCAGTCTAAGAATAAGCCAACTCAGGTGATCAGGCGAGTATAACTTCTTTGTTTTTTTTTAGCACCTAGATGAAAACAAGCAGTTAACCCTTGCAGTGCGGGGGTAGCCCCACTGGCAGGGTTAATAAAATTTCCCCCCACATATCACAAAAATGCATTCCTTTACAGTGGATGTTTGCTATCCACCAGTTGGAAATTTCCTTCCTCTGTTACTATGGAGACTAATCAGTCACCACCGTATCTCAGTTATTATTAGAAAATATACTCTCAATTAGGGTAATGCAGGTCCCTGTACATCAGAATACTTTTTTTTACAGTGAGCTCTTCTACATATTATTTGAAAGACAATTCAGTTATGAAGAATCTTCATACGATTCAATAGTAGCTCTGCTTTGGGTGTTGTCTGCACTATACAAGCACCATTCAATGACTGTATGCATATATTCTGATATCAGTCTCCTATAGATAGCTACAGTTACAGGCCCTAACAATACGCTTATACCAAACTCACTTGTTTGTAATCACCAACAATTAACGTCTCTTATTTTGGTCTGTTAAGTATACAATTGAAATTGTTACATCTCTTCAATAAGTGCAAGTGTTCACCTTACTTTGGATCAAAGCTCATAAATCCATAGGGTATTGAATGGGATGAATATAAGTAGTGTTTTGTTCCCCTTCTTAAAAAGTGGAATTCTAGCCCAAACACCCTTTTTGTTTTGGCTGAAAAAGGTTTAATACCTGTCAGGTTATTATTGGTATCTATGAGAGGTTTGCAGAGATCTGGCTTCACTTCTTGTGATCATGTTGTGTGGCCTAAATGACGCCAAATGCAGAAATAAAGATCCTAACTGCCTTGTTTTTCAAGGTAATAGAGAAGAACTCCCTCAGTCTTGTAGAGCTGCAACCAATCGGTTTTAAAGAAACTATAAAATGCAAATTCAAGTTTGAAATGTCATGGCTGCTACAACTGCCCCCCTTAAAAAAAATGCTAGTCGTCTCTGGGTGCAGTACTTTCAGCAATAGACCCATAAGGTACATGCATATTGTTATAAATCTTGATCTCCATATTAGCTCCAGAAGTCCGACCCAGATATCATTTTTAGAACCCTCCATATTCTCGCTCTATCTCTACACGTTTCTTTTAAAGGTAAGATTTTATTACTTGCTACAAGTATATCTACCCAACATATCCTGTTGTAGATGTCAGTAAGATAGATCTACTAAAGCTGTCAAACTTTCATAAGATATCGAAATGGATCCCAAAAGACTTTTATATTTACTGTACAATTGCTTGTTCATTTAGTCTGGAATGGTGGGTGAACATTGAAGGTTGGTTTTTTTGAGTATATGACTCTAGATATCATACAATGCTGTTTGCAGGTCAATTTCCTGTAAATAAACTTTACAGAGACAAATAAGCAAATCAGAACAGGTAAAAGTCTTATTGTGAACGGTTATTTCATTGTTCACATTTTAAAGTGTTATCTTGTAATATTCACGTATTAGCAGGCATACTTACACAAGGGCCCGGCCTATAACACCGCCAGTTTCCAAATCGTCTACACAAAGCTTTATGTACACTATGTGCTGTCTTGTCTCTACAAGAATAATGATATATCGCAACACAGATGTGGACAAGCCCAGAACTGGTGTGACCACTAGTCCTTCTGACTTCTAAAAATCAGTGCTGTTTATTAGAGTTGCACCGATACTGTTTGTTTTTTTGGCTAAGTGTACCGATATTCCTCCCCCCCCAGTACTCGCTGATACAGGCATCACGGGGTACCACTGGCCCAGCTTATCAGGAAGCTGGGCAGCAGGTCATGACCCACCGCCTGGCTTCCCGATTGCCTGGGAAGCTGGAGTTTGTTCACGTTCTGAGGCAGCCTGGCTTCTTGTCCAATCAGGAAGCCGGGAGGCATGTCATGACCCGCTTCCTGATTGGCTAGGCAGCCTGGCTTCTTGACCAATCAGGAAGCTGGACGGTGGTTCATGAAGTGCTACCAGGTTTCCCGATTGGCTAGGCAGCCTGATTTCCTGACCTATCAGGAGGCTGGGAGACGGGTCATGACATGCTTCCTAACTCATCAGGGAGGCGGGTCATGACAAGCCACCCTGCTTCCTGATTGGTCAGGAAGCCAGGTTGCCTAGCAACAAGTGAAGCTGGCTCCATGCTCCCTCGCAGCACTGCCAGTCCGAGGGAATCTCCCTCTGACCAGAAATTCCGGTATCAGGGTAAGTATCGAAGTACTCGCCCAAATACTCTGTGTCAGCACCTATACCAGTATCGGTATCTGCATCCCTACTGTATATGCATTTCATGTTTAACATTAGCTAAAATATATGAAACATCTCTACAGAAAACAAAATACCTTTGCACATCCTGTAAAAAAAAAAAAAAAAAGGATGGTTACAACCCATGTTCTTTTCATGCATAACTCCACTTTTTGAACACTGGAAAAGATGCACACAAATGTGAAAATGTAATCACTTTATTGAATCTGGCTTATTGTGTCAGTAAACAGCTTTCCTACAAAACAATGTGCTGTTCTGTAGCCCCCTTTATTTTCCCAATAGTCTCTACTGTGTTTATCCTTCAAGCAGGGCAAGTCAAAGTATAGTTGGGTATACAATGGTACACTTTTCATATGAAAAATCTTGTCAGAACATTAGATACTATGAGATACTTGACATATGTTTGAAATTTCCTTTGATGTTGGAATGAATTGAGTTTCCCGAACAAAAAACACATTCACTGTTAGAATTTTGTTTGATTGTTGATTTAACCCCATTAACTATTAGGAAAGCGGACATTCCTTGAACTAATTTGTTTAAACGAAATTCTACTAGTAGATAGCCAAATTTATGTTAGTGATATTAAAGTCAAAAGGATTTTAAGCTATTTCAAATGCTGATGAAATCACTTACAATGGATGCTGCTCCTTGATGTTTAAAAGTTTGTTTCATGTACAATCAGCTGGTCCTGATATCCTGTTTTAGAATGCTATGCAGTCGCCTATGCTATTAAGCTGTGTGTCTCCACAAACCCAGCAAATCAAGGTACTCCCCCCTCTCCTTCAAACTAGTAGATGAACAGTTACTGGAGTCTGCACTGTCCTTTGAGATCTTGTACTGGACAGGAAGTTCAGGGTAGCTGAGCTGAGAGACTTGGAAACAGCTGTTCAGAAACATGATGACTCTAGGTGTTTGGGGAAAAATGTAAAGCAATGCCTTGCTGGGCAATGTATATTTGTTTGCTCTGGATTCATTATTGGAAGAAAGAAAAAAAAACAAAAAACTAATTACCCATCTCCATGTATCACATGGTGGTAAAGAAAACAATTGCAATCAGTTGCATAAAAACTGTTATGTTAGACTATTCTAGTAGACCATGTTATTGTTGTTTACATTCTTGAGGTCATACAGTTTTAGGCCCCTTTCACATGGGCTGATCAGGAGAGGATTTATGTTGAATCCCCTTCTGTTCGGAACAACATGGATCAGATTTATCTGCTGTGACATCTGTCTGTCCAGTTTTTTTACTCCATCTTGCGATAGAGAAAAGAACTAAAACCGTTGGACCCCATGTCAGTCTATTGGGAGTCGTATGTAAGCAGACGTGTCAGTTTTCATCAGATTACCCCGCATCTGGCATGATCAGGTCCGGCGAAATGGAGCTCTTTTCTGTTTGTTTTTTCTGCTTAGACCCAGCTGCCCATAGACTAACATTGGGTATCCGATCAGGGCTGCCCATACTGGACCGCCCTGTGAAAGAGGCCTTAATGTGACAGTTAAATAAATCTGTCACAAAAGACAAGAGCCTTCTGAAAAAGCTGATTGACTATGGTTTTAGTACATTGAGTTACTGAACAGGATAAATTATGCAGCAAATAAAGTCAGTGTAAAGTCAGAATTCATTTTAAGATCAGTAATGGCATCCCAATTATTTATCTTTTTTACAGTTTTGCTTTGAAAGACTTAGGCTGGGCACACACCTTACAACCATCGCAAGACTTTTGTCTTGCGATGGTTGTAAGGTACTTAAAAAAACGTACGATCTGCCTATCTTGCATAGGCAGATCGTACTTGCGATGATCGCAAGCCACGCCCCGAGGGGCGAGCTTCCGCTGACCGCAATGCCGAACGGGCAGTGTGCGTTTGCGCACACCGGCCCGTACGGCTTTTATCGTACGGACATGCCACAAACCCGCCAAACATCGTACGATGCTCGGTGGGTTTTTGAACATGTCCATAAGTTTAAAGTCGTGCGACCTTACAGTAGTAGAGGTCGCAAGGCTTTCACACACCTTACGATAATCGTACGATCGCGGGATTTCCCGCGATTATCGTAAGGTGTGTGGGGACCTTTAGAATCTGGTCACCTGAGGCAACAGCTCCATCTGTCATCCATTTTCCTAGTCCATGAAAAAGAATGAGTGCAAGCCAATGACTGGTAGCTACTGACAATGCTTTCACTTTTCCTTTTCACTACTTTTTATACAAGAGACCCATTACCTTGATACAAACCACATGTAGCACATTACAATTACCATGCTTTATCCAATAACGATTTGACAATGCTCATTATTTGATCATCAATACATATCACGGCTTGTTGAAAGCAAGATTAAAAATACATCATCCACAATGCCAATTTTATTTTTTTTTCCAAGAAAACACCAGGAACTTCATTTCACAGGAAACTTGCGAGGGCAGCTTAAATACTTACAAAACCTGTATGAAAAAGATGAGTTGATATTAATGAACCTTCAAACTCAAACTACTATACATTACATGTCCTTTGGAGACAGTGGGTCTAATAATTGTATAGAAGCTGCAATAGTTGTATGTAAATTAAGTTGCTACCAAAAATAATCAAGTTTGTACCTTAAATATAAGTTTTGATGGAACAAAGATCCAGTAAAAACATAATATAAAGATTATGCCAACTCAGCAATCAATGGTAGGTGTGCTCAAAGCCAAAGATGTGGTTATTAACATAGTACTAGGAACAATGGTGTACAATATTGTTACCTTTGTCAACCAAGCAGAAAAAAGCACTGACTGTGGTTTAGTCTACATAATGAAGGGCGATTTCTGATTGGTTGCTGTTGCTCCAGCATTCTCTGCATTATATTATTAAATAAGCCCAGACAGGTCACATGCAAAACATAGCTAATTGAGAATGTGACAAACAAGAACAGTGAATACTGATGTGTTCTACTTACTGGACATGTAGCTCTTTATATATAAAAAGCATTCAAGCAGGCAAAACATTGACAGGTTGCATATTAAAACTGTATGTGAATAGGAAAGAAAAACTTGATGTATGACCCAAGGATGGTTGAGATGTAACGGATCAAAAGAAAAAAAAAAAAGATTTTATTACAAAGGTACAAATTGTTAACACTTCACTGTTGAGGAATCAAAGACTCAAATACCAAAAGTTAAGAGTATACTGCTTCAGACAAAAGTGACATTCAAATCCGGACCCAGGGTAGAAAGTGACTTAGTACTTGGTGCTGCTCTCCCATGAGGCATTTGGCAATATTTTACAGTCCTGGAGGATTCAATTTTAAAACGACGACACAAAAAAAAGGCACCCTGAAAAGGCGTTCTCAGACGAGAAAATATGTTAAAATCCGTGTGGCAAGAGGAGACAAGCATTGTGTGTTTTCCTTTTAAATAATAATTCTTTCGGCGGGGGATTAATACTGTATCTTGTTAGATTGGCTCTGGTTTCAGTTTCTCTGCTAGGAAATCTTTGACAAAACTCTCCACAATCTCTGGAGTGATCTCCTCCACATCCATGACATACTTTGCTCTGGCGGACATGTCCAGTATGGTAAGCAGAGGGGCGGCTTCTGGGAGGTTTGTGAAATCCCGCAGGGAGTCTGTCATGTCATCCTGAAACAATAAAGACAATCACATTCACTGTGGATCATTGGAGGGGAAAAACGTCGTCAGACTGGTAGCAGAGAGAATGAAGATACCTTTATCCTGGAGGAAAAACAGGAATACCAATACATTTGTTTGAAAATAAAGATTTGCTTTGCTTGTAATTTACTTTGATACTGCATTTTATTACAACATGTATGTTTTAACCTCCCTGGCGGTATTCCCGAGTGTGGCTCGGGGTTAATTTTCAGTACCAGTAGCGGTAACCCCGAGCCACACTTGGGATTACACAAAAGTGTCACTTACCTTTTCCCTACGAGCCAGCGGTGTCCTCTGCTGTGTGCGCCTGGCCGATGCCGGCATCCGACTTTTAGTTTCGTTTTTGGCGTCACAGCGGAGCCGGCGGGAAATTCAAAAGTGAAAACATGCAATATACACAGAATACACACAATATAATGTAATCTGCTATGATTACACTTATGTATCAAACTATTTCACTTCAATTTTGTCCCTAGGGCTTTGTCCAGTGCCATGCCTGCACTTTTACTGTTCTTTCTGTCTGGAAACTTGAGAACGTCCATGGCATCCAAAAAGCGTCCCTTTAGGTCAAAAGCGGTTGTAGACCAGGTAGAAAACAGTGATAGTGAATTAGAATCACTTGCAGAATTGAGCGATAGCGATTCGTTGGGAAATTCGTCGTCAGTGACGACAGCCACGATTCTGCGACCGAGCTCAGTGATGTGCAAACTTGGTACTCTATTGACTGTGGTACGGATCAGGCAGCGCCCCCAGAATTCCCATTTACTTGACCATTTTTTTTAAATTATTATATTATAATTTTTTATAATTGTTTATTATATT